CACGCCTGATTCATTTTCACAAACGTGAGTCTCTCCACACTTTGGGTGGACAGTCGTGTCCTCCGCGGAGTTACAATACCTCCTGCCGCACTAAACACGCGCTCCGATGCCACGCTACTGGCCGGGCATGACAGCCTTTCAAGGGCAAATTCAGCTAGTTGGGGCCAAAGGTCAAGTTTCGTTGCCCAGTAGTCAAGGGGATTGTCTACCTCGGTTGGCAGGGTGCTGTCCAAGTAGGCCTAAGCCTGTTGTTTGAGGTCCTGCTCCAGGTCCACCTGATGCTGCTGCGGCTGGTTAGTAGTTTCCTCACTGCGCTGGTGAAGAAAGCTACTCATCATCGACTGCAGACTGAGGCAGCCGCTGCTGGTGGAGCTGCCACTGCTCCTACCACCCCACCCCTCCCCTGCTGCCATGGCAGCGGAACGCGAGCGCACAGGGCCCACAGTGTCTGAGGATGGACGTTGGCGCAGAAAGGCAGAGACCAGCTGACTACATAGGTGGTTTTTATAGTACGTTATTTTGGCCTCCCTCTCCGCAGGTGTGAAAAAGGCCACCATTTTTGAACGGTAGCGAGGGTCCAACAAGGTGGACAGCCAAAAGTCATCCCTCTGTCTGATGGTTATTATTCGGCTGTCGCTACGCAAGCAAGCAAGCATGCTATGGGCCATTTGTGCCAAGGAATGCGAGGGACTCCCTGCCTCCATCTCCACAGCATACTGCCACGGTGCGTCTGGGTCCTCTGTCTCCTCCTCCTCCTCCTCTACCAGATGCTTCTGCTCCTCCACTCCTGTCCGCTGAGTGGAAAAACCACCCATTTCACTCAATAATTCCTGAGCACCAATGTCCTCCTTTACCTCCTCCTCTTCTTCCTGTCCTGCCCCCACAGGGGTCATGTGGCGTTGAGATCTGTGCGCCACGTCTACCGCACCCTGACCAGCCATTGTTAACAGCATTTGTTCCAGGACGTGCAACAGAGGAATGACGTCGTTCATCCCATAGTCCTGCCGACTCACGAATAGCGTGGCCTCTCAAAGGGGCCTGAGCAAGCAGCAGGTGTCACGCATGAGCTGCCAATGGCTGACATCGAAGTTACACAGGGGAGTACCTTTATCCGCTTGTAACATCAGGAAATCGGTGATGGCCTTTCGCTGTTCGTAAAGGCGGTCTACCATGTGTAGGGTTGAATTCCACCTTGTTGCAACGTCGCAGATCAGGCGATGCTGTGGAATTCCGTTCTGCCGCTGCAGCTCAAGGAGGGTGTGCTTTGCGGTGTAGGAATGGCTGAAATGCATGCAAAGTTTACGTGACATTTTAAGGATGTCTTGCAGTGGGATGGTGGATTTTAGGAACCGCTTGACAACCAGATTGAACACGTGAGCCATGCATGGCGCATGGCACAACCTTCCTTGACGCAGAGCAGACACCATGTTCTTTCCGTTGTCGGTCAACATGGTTCCGATTTTCATTTTGCGCGGAGACAGCCATCTGTCGATTTCTCTGTTCATTACACTGAGAAGTTCCTCCCCTGTGTGACTACGTTCGCCTGGACCTGGCAGCAGCATGAGGAGGCGGTACAGGGGCCCATGGCAGATTACGGGCCTGGCAGCAGCTATGGGAGGCCCGTAATCTGCCAGCACCCTATGACAAAAAATGGAACACACCAGCAGTGTGTGAGGAGACCTGAAAGTGGCACATGGCAGAGTGTGGCGATGGAGACAGCAGCAATGGGAGGCCGTACAGGGACCCATGAGAGACTCTGGACCTGGCAGCAGCATGAGGAGGCGGTATAGGGGCCCATGGCAGATTAGGGGCCTGGCAGCAGCTATGGGAGGCCCGTAATCTGCCAGCACCCTATGACAAAAAATTGAACACACCAGCAGTGTGTGAGGAGACCTGAAAGTGGCACATGGCAGAGTGTGGCGATGGAGACAGCAGCAATGGGAGGCCGTACAGGGACCCATGAGACACTGTGGACCTGGCAGCAGCATGAGGAGGCGGTACAGGGGCCCATGGCAGATTAGGGGCCTGGCAGCAGCTATGGGAGGCCCGTATTCTGCCAGCACCCTATGACAAAAAATGGAACACACCAGCAGTGTGAGGAGACCTGAAAGTGGCACATGGCATGAGACACAGTGGGAGGCCGTACCTGGCAGCAGCATGAGGAGGCAGTACAGGGGCCCATGGCAGATTAGGGGCCTGGCAGCAGCTATGGGAGGCCCGTAATCTGCCAGCACCCTATGACAAAAAATGGAACACACCAGCAGTGTGTGAGGAGACCTGAAAGTGGCACATGGCAGAGTGTGGCGATGGAGACAGCAGCAATGGGAGGCCGTACAGGGACCCATGAGACACTGTGGACCTGGCAGCAGCATGAGGAGGCGGTACAGGGGCCCATGGCAGATTACGGGCCTGGCAGCAGCTATGGGAGGCCCGTAATCTGCCAGCACCCTATGACAAAAAATTGAACACACCAGCAGTGTGAGGAGACCTGAAAGTGGCACATGGCATGAGACACTGTGGACCTGGCAGCAGCATGAGGAGGCGGTACAGGGGCCCATGGCAGATTAGGGGCCTGGCAGCAGCAATGGGAGGCCCGTAATCTGCCAGCACCCTATGACAAAAAATGGAACACACCAGCAGTGTGAGGAGACCTGAAAGTGGCACATGGCATGAGACACTGTGGACCTGGCAGCAGCATGAGGAGGCGGTACAGGGGCCCATGGCAGATTAGGGGCCTGGCAGCAGCTATGGGAGGCCCGTAATCTGCCAGCACCCTATGACAAAAAATGGAACACACCAGCAGTGTGTGAGGAGACCTGAAAGTGGCACATGGCAGAGTGTGGCGATGGAGACAACCCACCGACTGTTTTGCTCGCTGCCAAGCTGCCACCCTCTTCTCCTGATGATGCGGAAGCAATAGCCTGATGACGACGAGGCTGCCAAGTGCGATCAGCCTCATCATCATCAATTAGGGTCTCCGCCTCACTACTAGCCCCCTCTGCTGCGTGTGGGTCAGGAGACAGACCTGTCTCTAGACCGGCTACCGAGCCACTCTCCTCGCCACTACTTCTTCGCCTGGCTGCTGAAGAGGCGGATGTCTCCCCCCGTTCCTGACCGCCCTCTGTTAGCTCTTCCTCACTGTACTGGATGACACCGGGAGCACTGGCCTCTGGCTGCGAATAGTGCTGCCTCGACCCCTTCCTCTGCTGCCACGTCTGCTCACTCCTAAAACATTGCCTCCTCTGCCACTCCTCTGCATGTTGTCTGACATACTCTTTAATTAAGAGGTTCTGTGGCCCTCAGTAACAATTCTGTGTCTGTCCCTAAGTAACAATTCTGTGGCCCTAAGTAACGATTCTGTGGCCCTCAGTAACAATTCTGTATCCCTCAGTAACAATTCTGTGTCTGTCCCTGAGTAACAATTCTGTGTCCCTAAGTAACGTTTCTGTGGCCCTAACTAACGATTCTGTGGCCCTAAGTAACGTTTCTGTGGCCCTCAGTAACAATTCTGTGTCCCTCAATAACAATTCTGTGTCTGTCCCTAAGTAACGATTCTGTGGCCCTCAGTAACAAATCTGTGTCCCTCAGTAACAATTCTGTGTCTGTCCCTAAGTAACAATTCTGTGTCTGTCCCTAAGTAACAATTCTGTGGCCCTAAGTAACGTTTCTGTGGCCCTCAGTAACAATTCTGTATCCCTCAGTAACAATTCTGTCTGTCCCTGAGTAACAATTCTGTGTCCCTAAGTAACGTTTCTGTGGCCCTAACTAACGTTTTTGTGGCCCTAAGTAACGTTTCTCTGTCCCTAACTCTCTCCCTGAATACAGCCAGGTCTGCCTCTGTTGAATGACTGGAGGCAAATGGAGAATTCTAAAATGGCCGCCATTTATAGCTCGACCATTACACTGTGCTGGCTGGCTGGCTGCTGATTGGCTAATGCGATCACATGTCATGAATGAATGCATTATGGGTCAGCGCGCCTTGTCTGCGCGCCTTCCCAGACATCCCCGCTCCGTCGCCGCACATGTCGCCGCCATTTTAGGAAAAATTTCGATTCGCGCATCCGAAGTCTGCTTATTTTTGGATTCGACGCGAATCGAAATTTTCCTAATATTCGAAACGAATTCCACTTCGCCTACTTCGATTCGCTCATCTCTAGTAAGCACCCCTGTCAGCAGTAAAATGGTTTGTCTCAACCTTGCAACTGCTACATCAGCAGAACAGCTAATTCTGGTGAATAAAAACAAGCTTACTGGCTAGATCACTAGTTGAAAAGTAAAGGAAAGAGAGTCTAAAAAAGAAAATTAATGCAGCCATCACATCTAAGAATTGGTAACCTGCAATATAATAAATGTTTGTTTTGAGTTTATTATTGCTGTAAATGTGCATTATGCATCAGCAGCAAAGCCCCGCTCAGGTGAGAAGGAAGCCGTGCAGACAGAGGGAGGCCTTTTAATTTCCCCTTTTAGTGGTACTTAAAAGGCTAGACCCCTTTTACACTGGTGGGTGTTTGCTGTGCTAAAGCACACCTTTCCAGTGTGACAAAAGCTCATGAAGTAATTCCCCTTTAAACACTATGTAACTGTTCACCGTGCTGCACTTTTTTGATGACAGTCGTGCTTGCTGCATCTTTGGTGCACTTTTCAAAAGCACGCCAAAAACACATCTTCCGTTCTAAGATTACTGGGTACACATAAAATATACACCTTTCACCTTTCCATCTTTGATTTTGAATCACATGACCATATTTCACTGTTGCATTCTGAGAGTCAGGAAATCAGAAAGCGCACCAAAAATGCATTAAAAGCATGTTAAAAATGCAATACACATTTTGTTAAAAACCATACCATGTATTTAAGTGCTCCAATGAGAGAGGTCCCTTACACTTGACATACCGTTCCCTGCACAACGTTACTGATATTTAATTCATATTTTATTTATTGTCTATTGCTTAAGACTTTAGTGCTGCTGATATTGATTGTGTTTTATTTCCTTCACTCAGAACTCAGGTTGAGGAGTTGAAGAAAGAAACAGAGTGCCTGCATTCCAAACTGGAACAATTAAGCAAACAGGTAAAGAACACAAGCTAATCATCGGTTTCAAAATTGTAATACTTTCACCTATAATTGATTTTATCTGTATATTTTTTGCTGGACACAACATACCACTAGGGTATACAGTATATACCCTGCAACAAGTATGAATACTCTGGAGTAAAAATCAGCACAGTATGTCCCTGCCTGCTCTGCGCAGAAAGTCATGGATCAATTTAGTTTTAGTTTTCCAAATGGAGTATTTGTACTTACAACACTATATCTGTTGCAGGTGGCCAGTCTTGATGATATATATACAGTTGTGTTCAAAATAATAGCAGTCAGACATCACTAACCTGATCAATTACTGTTTTTGGTAGAAATTATATTTCTACATGGCAAATAATTTACTAGCAGGTGTAGTAGAGTAATAGAATTCCAACAGACCCAACAGTCATGACATGCATGCTGCTGATTCTGTGTAATTGAATCACTAATTGAAAGGGGCATGTTCAAAATAATAGCAGTGTGGAGTTCTGTTAGTGAGGTCATTCATTCTTTGAAAAACAGGTGGCAATAATTGCCCTTATTTAAGGAAGGAAGGCAGCAAATGTTGTACATGCTGGTTACAGTGCAATTCTCTCTGAAATTCTGAGGAAAATGGGTTGTTCCAGACATTGTTCAGAAGAACAGCGTACCTTAATTAAAAAGTTGATTGGAGAGGGGGAAAAACATATAAAGAAGTGCTGAAAATGATAGGCTGCTCAGCTAAAATGATTGCTAATGCTTTAAAATGGCAACCAAAACCTGAAAGACATGAAAGAAAGCGAAAAACTACCATTCGAATGGATAGAAGAAATAGCCAAAATGGCAAGGACTCAGCCAACAATCAGCTCCAGGAAGATCAAAGAAGGTGTAAAGTTACCTGTGAGTACTGTTACAATTAGATGACGCCTATGTGAAGCCAAGCTATCTGCAAGAAGCCCCCACAAAGTCCCACTGTTGAAAAAAAGACGTGCTGAAGAGGTTACAATTTGCCAAAGAGCACATTGACTGGCCTAAAGAGAAATGGTGCAACATTTTGTGGACTGATGAAAGTAAGATTGTTCTTTTTGGGTCTAGTGGCCGGAGACAGTTTGTCAGACGACCCCCAAACACTGAATTCAAGCCACAGTACACTGTGAAGACAGTGAAGCATGGTTGTGCAAGCATCATGATATGGGGATATTTCTCATACTACGGTGTTGGGCCTATTTATCGCATACCAGGGATCATGGATCAGTTTGAATACATCCGAATACTTGAAGAGGTCATGCTGCCTTATGCTGAAGAGGAAATGCCCTTGAAATGGGTGTTCCAAACAAGACAACGACCCCAAACACACCAGTAAACGTGCAATATCTTGGTTCCAGACCACCAAGATTGAGGTTATGGAGTGGCCAGCCCAATCCCCGGATCTTAATCCAATAGAAAACTTGTGGGGTGACATCAAAAATGCAGTTTCTGAGGCAAAACCAAGAAATAGAGAAGAACTGTGGAATGTAGTCCAATCATCCTGGGCTGGAATACCTGTTCACAGGTGCCAGAAGTTGGCTGACTCCATGCAACACAGATGTACAGCAGTTCTCAGAAACAGTGCTTATACAACTAAATATTCATTAAGTGATTCAAAGGAAAGCAAAATCTTCAAACATTTTTCAGTTTATATAGTGAATGTTTGAGTTTGTAAAGAAGAATACAAACACTGCTATTTTTTGAACAGTCTAATATTCACTTTTCTTCAATTTTTTTTAGAGGAAAAACACAAATTTTATATATTTTTCTTCATGTTTTGATTGGAATAGAATGTGTAGTGTTCCCAATGCATTTGTGTATATGGAAATAAAAGCAATTAGAAGGATTTTGAGCTTTATTCACTTTTTTCAACACACATATTATTTTGAACACAACTGTATATATGGGCGCACAGTGGCTTAGTGGTTAGCACGTCTGCCTTGCAGTAAATGGGTCATGGGTTCGATTCCCAACCATGGCACCTCCTGCATGGAGTTTGCATGTTCTCCCTATGCTTGCATAGGTTTTCTCTGGGTACTCTGGTATCCTCCCACACTCCAAAGACACGCTGGTAGGTTAATTGTATCCTGTCTAAATTGGCCCTAATATGTGTATGTATGAATGTAAGTTAGGGACCTTAGATTGTAACACCTTGAGGGTTAGGGACTGATGTGAATGTTCACTATATATGTGTAAAGCGCTGCGTAAATTGACAGCGCTATATAAGTACCTGAAATAAAATTTAAAAATTTTTTTTTTGGGGGGGGGGGGGGGGGTTTCTTATTCGCTGCTTTTCCATCTGGAATTGGTTTTTTTGGACACCCCTAGTCATCTTCTGTGTTCATCAGTGAACATTTGGAAAAAATAGTTTTTTTTTTTTTGCACAAAACATTTTGTTATTGTTGATGATTATACTGATGATTGTACTGAAGTCGATCGATAGATGCCTGCTTTTAGATGGATCAAAATTTGTCCGGTTTCTGCAAATGCATAAGCTTTACTATCTTCCTACAACAGTGACTGTACCTCCAGCACTGAATGTATGTAATGGCAAGGGGTGCTGGAGTGTGCTGGAAGGTCTGTTCTCCTGGCTGCTGGGGGATTTATTGTCACTGGAGGGGATCTATTTTTGTGTGGCATTCTATTGTTGCTGGGGGGTCTATGGTTGCTGGAAAGGATCTACTGTTGGGGCAGAGATCTGTTGTTGCTGGCTGCTAGAGAGTCTATTGATGATGGCTAATGGGAGATCTGTTGTTGCTGCTGGGGTCTGTTGTTGCTAGGGTGGTATTTTGTTGTGGGGGTCCATTGTTGCTGGGGGAATCTACCATTGCTGGGGGGTATTGCTTTTATTGTTATCATTAACAAATTCCATACAAGTTACTTAGCACCACAAAATGATACTTGGCTATGTATTCTCTTTAAGGAGTGGTACCTGGAGGCGGGAAAGGGGTGTAACCAAGGGACTGTGCTTGAAAGTATAGGTATGGGGGGGCAGAGACAAGAAGTGACTCAGAAGGGGGGAGTTCCTGCACCTATCCTTTGAGAAAAAAAAAGCCCAGGCAACAAAAGACAGTCAGATGAATTGAATGGGCCCCACCAACTGTGAAATTGATTAAACTGGCTCTGTAGACTGTGTGCTCCAAATCTTTCTGCAAATGTAAATAACCCATGTTCATTAAGTGCTATGAACACTGAATTTCATTAAAAAAAATTTAAAAAATGTATTGGTGGCAGGGGCAGACTGACAACTCATGGGGCCCCCAGGCAATAGGGGATCATGGGACCCCTGTGTCCTTGCCCAAACTCAAAAAAGCCTATGAAAAAGGTACCAGGGGCATCTCATGGGGCCCCCTACTGACCCGGGCCCTCGTGCAGTGCCCGAGTTTCCAAATGGTCAGTCCGCCCCTGATTGGTGGGATTACCAACTGAGTAGATGAATCAAGATAAGAGTATTGTCTGCATTATAATGAAGAGGGTAAGACCCTGTTAAAGGGAAACTATAATAGTTTAAGGTCATGGGTTTTTTTTAAATATATTTAACACATTCTATATTTATTGTACATATATTACACACACAGAAGAGTGATTTCTGCACACAATAAGGTGACAAGTGCATGAAGGCAGCACAGAAACTAATAGTCTTTTAAAAAAAAACGCACTCACAGGTCTTTGAGCAAGAGTTACAATGTACCATTCAGAACAGCCTTACTAAGTGTCTAGCATTCTGTGGGGCACAGCCTGCCTTTTTGAGATATATACAGTATACACACACACACACACACTGTATATACTCTTTTCTACTATAAAAAGGCAAATGATACTCTTATAGTTTTTTAAGAGACGCCTCAGTGAATGCTGTTTCCTTTATGACAGCTTGTTGGAAAGAAAACTCATGCTGATCTGGATTAAGGGCTTGTTTACACTTGGGTCCGAGGGTAAACATAGGTGATTGAACCATGGTTTAACTGCCCCCTCCTTAAAGTGGAACTAAACTCTCTCGATCAACTTTAACTATTTTGAATCCATATGCTGCTAGCATTAGTAAATAGATAGGAAGGTATGTTATATCTACTTGTAAAAAATAAAAATCTCTTTAGTTGCTTCCTGGTTTCTGTCTTGGGCCAAAATGATGGCACGCATACCATGAGTTTTCATGGACATTTTTTACTTCCATCTAGAGGAAGGTCTTTATCAGCTAATCACACCCTCCTGCCTGCATGCCTGATCTAGGGGAAGATGGATTCCAGGAAGTAAATACTACGTGAATCAACTGCCCTTACTCAAGATGGCTGTGGCTAGAAATGAAAAGCATCCCCTAGCATTTCTAGCCACAACCATCTTTAGTAAGGGCAGTTGACACATATAGTATTTACTTCCTGGAAGCCAGTTTATTAACAAAAAAAACATAGAGACATAGATGGATGCTTGAGGTTGGTTTGAATGAAAAAAATGAAATAACATTTTTAATTTGTGCTTCTCAGTTACAGATGAGCTCCACGCTAAGCTGCAAAGTCAGCTAGACAGGATCGTACACGTTCCGTTGGCAGATACTGTGCTTTTGTGTCTGGCACAAAAATGAAACCTTTTTGTCAATTGAATGGGACTGTCAAGTGAATGCAATGTACGGAGTTGCGAGCTTTTAAGCATTAAAATGGGCACTCAAAAATCTCCCCTCCCAACTTTGTCAATTGCCCTCTAAAAAGTAATACACTGCAAATTGCATTTCAAAGGGGCAGCAAGGGCTGCCACAAATGATTAACTGAGGGAGGAGTCATTGCTAGACTCACTCACATATAAAAATGAATCCTATTTTTTTATTCTTCATGCTCTTTCATTTAACAGAGGCTGTTGTAAGCTCTTTGTTGCCTCTTCTTTCATGTCACAGCTATATAGCAAACCCTAGATGACAGCTATGAAAGCTCAGTGCAAACATCCACTTTATATGCATTTAATTTTCGTCTTTATCCTTCTTTTCTGCATTGGCTGTAATTTAATTTTTTTTCTGCTAGCTGACCTCTGCTAATAGAATCCTAACCAGACTGACTGTGTTTAATGCCACTTTACCTTCAAAAGTTTGAATTCCTGGCTCAGTTTTCACAACTGCTCTGCAGGGACTGCTGGAGAATTGTGAGATGAGCTGTAAAAGACTTACACCAGCCTCTATGCACATGCACTGTTTTATGGGATAGCAAGCAGAATGGCATGCTTTTTAGGAGGTTTAGAAGAAAATGTAAGACGTGAAAATGAGAGAATGGCTCATCCAGCTGTCTAAAACAACTACGGTATATGCAATATTTCATATTTTTAAGCCATTTTATTTATTTAGCCTGAACCCTAATAATTCTATACTAAACCAATATACATGCTCTTTAACTTGCCAGGTTTGGAATGTAAAAACTGCAGGAAGTGTCAACTTTCTGTCTGGAATTGAGAAACCCCATTAATGGCTTGGAGTTTATAAGTATTTATACATTTATTACATTTCTCTTGCAGTACCACGACCAGCAGAATGAGTTTTCACAATCAAATGTACAGCTTGAGGAGACCATTCTTCATCTAAACACCAAACTACAAGAGGTCTCTGAACAGAAGGATAAAGCCAATGTTGTTCAAGAGCAACTGCAGGGAATGATTACTGCTCTGGAAACTGAGAGACACGAGAAACAGATGGTCTGGCAAAGAGAAAAAGAAGAATTAGAACAAGAACTGCAGAAAACCAAACAAGAGGTAAAGTGGAATTATTTGGCATATTTGAAACATGGCAGATGTTCAAATAACAGAGGAGCAGAATAAAGAAAACATTGCTCTGGAATCAGCCATGAAACCTAAGAGACCTAGATTAGGTGCCCACAGATACAATAAGCTAGTATGCACTATAAGGGCCCTTTCACACTGATCAGTTTTTCAGGTAAAAAAAAAAGCAGATGAATAATGCATCCCTTTAAATCCTATGGAACTTTTCACACCTGCCCGTTGCTTTTCAGTTATAAGCCCTGCGTACGGCATTCATTATTTTATAGTTAAAAGAAGAAATTGCCAGCTCCTTAATAATTCACTTGTTTTACCACCTTTTGTCTTGTTTTATAAATGAAATATAAAAGAGCACTGACAGCTCATCACCCACAGATGTAAGTACAGTGGGGACTGAGGGGGTAGGGCGGTTGTATGGCGTTCACCTTGTAATGTTTTTCTGAAAAGGTGAACTTACACTTTAAGGGGAAAGGAGAACAAGTAACTACCTGTGCAGTAAAAGGTGTGTTCGTGTGACCTTGTGTAATACCAATTAAATATTGTTTGTGCATTTGAGGCTTTATAACTTATGATTTCCAGGTATTTTACGCAAAGCTAAAGGAAATCTCTCCAAAGTAAGAGAAATTCCCTCTTAGACAGTTATTATTGTAAAAAAGTACCCTATTGAAAAATACTTGGGGTAACTGCTAGTGCAGCCGGTATGTTTCTATGGTAGAAATGGCTTTCTGTTTGTGCCCGTAATTTTCCTGTTTGAACTTGCCACCAGTGTTTGAGTTGGTCTAATGTACGTAAATTTAGGGTGATAGTATTCTGGGGTTTTGTGTACATGAAAATTATTTTCTTGGAGGTAGAATGTAAGACCACCTTTCAAAGGGGCTGTTATGGTCTTTGCACTGATTCAAGTAATTTTATTACCATTATCATTTACGATGATGCTTTCTGCTGCCCATATGGTCCAGTCTCTTTCCTAAAGGAGTATAACTATCAGTACATATGCAGTAAGGTACTGTATCTAGATTTGACAATATAAGCATTACATTGAATATTGCTATTAATAAAGTTAGTAAAGCTTAGGGTACCTGCACTTGGCAGGGGATTTAGAAAAGGAAAATGTCTGTATAATTATTAACAATAAGGTTTCGAGATAGTTACAAAGTAGAACCAAGACAAGTAAGTTAAATCACCTGTTATCTCTTTTGAGGGAACTTTTTTTTTCTGTTTATTTCAAGTTATGATTGCAGGTGGACTGCAGTGCAGGTAAGGGCAGCGTGGAGCACGGAGGTAGGTTGCTGATTATCACTGTGATACGTGTTAGGAACGTGGCACGTGGTATTTCCACAATCTGCTTCTGTCAGCGCCCTCCCCCTAATTTCAGGTTTTTGATTATTTGCTGTTCAATTCCCTCCTTTGATTCCTTTTGGCCAGTGTTTGACAAACACAGTGAGCCTGACATATAATATGTTATGACTGCATAGACGTTGTGTTCCTTCTGCTTACCAAGAGTCTTTATGGCTGCCAACTACAAACTCACTTTGCCCATCTGATGTCAGATGGTCTCAGAGCTTATCCAGGTGGTCGACATAACTGCCACCCTACATGTGACAGTGTCTGCAGCTGGTTATTAGCTCTGCAAACATTAGGTCTGAGCACTATCACATGAGGGGGGTCACATGGCCCCTCATACCTCGAAGCCCAACCCCATTAGAGTAACAAAATGAAGGCAGTGAAAAAGAGGGGATTGGTCAATGCAACTTGCTTTGAGGCGAGGGGGTGAATGTCTGCAGACACTGTCAATTTGCCTATGTAGGCCAAAGTGACAATGTGTCTCTATAGAAATGTGCTGGTAGAACTTCAAACAGCTAACATATAAGGCACAGATTTATACTTTCTGTAATCGTTGCATAGCAAAGGAACCATTATCACAATAAAAATATGTAATATACATTAAAAGAAGGTATCCACTTTATAACATCTAGGTAGCCAGTTACAAATGCATCACCCCACTCCATTGTAGCATCTAATTGTACTATAAAATAATAGCCACTAGTGTAGAGGGGTTTCATTATGAGACTATCATCTGCAATAGTCCAACAGGGCAGATCCACTTTAAGTTAGAGGTTATCTTTATAAGGTTATGAGGAGGATAAGGGTTTGGAGCAAAAAAAAAAAAAAAAATTCAAGAGTAGACCACTTTTTTAACTATTTGTATATGTTTGCTTGATCAGAATGAGAAATACTGGGATGAACTGTGCCAGCTGAACACACAGAGCCTTCAGTTGACAAGCACCTTATCCGATCTCACTGCACAGAGAGAGGGGAGCTATGAGACCATCCAGCATATGAATTGTAGACTCAGTGAGGTGAATGAAGAAAAGCATCAGGCATCTGCACTTTTGGAGCAGCTACAAGGAAAGATGAATGAGCTTAAGAGAGAGAACCTTCAGAATGAGGCTGGATGGCAGAAGGAAAAAGAACAGATTCAAAGTGAACTGCAGATGTGCAAACAGGAGGTATTTTTTTCAATATATTATATATTAAGTTATATTAAAGTGGTTGTAAAGGCAAAATGTTTTTTTAATAAAAATTAACATGGTATACTTACCTGCTCTGTGCAATGGTATTGCACATAGCGGCCCTGAACCTCCTTTTCTGGGGTCCCCCACTGGTGCTCTAGACTCTTCCTCTTCTGCATGTGCCACCACAACAAACCACTTACTATGGGAGCGCATGTGTAGGCTCATTCCTAACCTGGGCTGTGTGTGTCCATAGACACACAGCGCTGCTCAACCCTGCCCCGCCCCACCCCCTGCTTGCAGGATTTGATTTACAATAGCAGGAGCTGCTGTGAATGCAGGGAGAGAGGAGAGAGCCGCTACAGACAGGCACAGTGCTAGATCCATTGAAGGGGTAAGTATTTGGGGGGGGGATGCATTAATGTAAAAATATTATGCTTTTAGAACCACTTTAAGCTGCAAAGCATTTCATGAAAAATCCCAATTACTTTCAGATTGTTTGCTAAATATGGTCTAGGTGGATAAAAAAAGATGTTCAAGGTCTTACAGATAATTCACTAGAAAGCATAAAAAGCAACCACAGCAAGTATGGAAAAGCTTTGCCAGCATGCTGTAGGGAAGGCATAACGCATATTAGATTATCCCCAATCCCCCATGCTGGATTCAAGGGGTCCTTTACAATTTTTTTCAAGTGCATTTTTCAAAATGTTATATTTTAAGCACTTTTTTTCACTTAACTGTATAACTGTCACATTGAGGGCTAGAAGCTCCCTATGTGATAGTTATAATTAGGTGAGTCTCCCTGGCACTGAGGCCATGCAGATCCAGGTCAAAGAGATGATTCGTTCCCGCCCAACCACAGATGGATAAAAATTGAAAGCTGTGAACTAGCAAGTGCTCAGAGCTAAGCATTTTGGGTTCATTGTACTAAGAAGAGATCACTTAATGCAGTGTTTGATGTCCAGAACACCTAGGAGAGCAACAGTGAGTTTGTTTCCACTCACTGATTGCCATAACAAGTTGGACGTGTCTTTGAGGTAAAGATAAACTCCAGGCAGATATGAATAAGACCCCAATTAATGCACTTGTGTATCAATTTAAAGCCTACGTCTAGTTAAAGAAATATATAAAAATGAGCACAAGGGACATTACATACCAAAAATGTGATACGTCCCTTGTACTGCTGTCTTGTTTAGGTAAAATCTTCATCCTCCAATGCCCCCCACAACCATAATCTTCTGGTGCGACAGAGGTTATTAAAACTGAGGAAACTGTGACATCCATTCATCAAGAGGCATGAATATGCCTGCCCTTTCCACAGAGCTGCTGCTTTCATAGAAGCTATAAAACACAATCTCTGAATAGAGGAGCTTTCAATCACCTGCCCATCCTCTATTCATAGATCACATAAGTGCACAACATTTTATTTTGATTGTACCGTACAGGACAAAGGCTTGATATTCATAGTCCCCATAGGCGTGTACAGCCTATTGCATTAGGGTGTGCACCCCCAAAGCTCAAATACACATGCGTACTATATATATATTGAAGCACCCTCCTAGTTAGCTCCCACATGGGAATACCCTCACTGATAGCAATGGTGGAAACTAGGTGCAAGAACCACAGAAAAAGCACAGGTGAATATTTGCTCTGCTGAAAGCAGGCGAAAAAAAAATAAAAATACCACTCAGGGTGTTGATTTTATCCTTGCATCAGAGGAGGGCCCTGTTTTAACACCAGTGTCTTCACTCGATTCTAGCTCTATCTCAAGCACACAAAACACAGAGCCTAGAATAAGGCATGACACAAATCTCCAGAATGGCTCTGATTTATGTTCACATGAGCAGAAATTTGTGGCTCAAAGCCTGGTCAGATGAAGGTACCTGTAAAAGACAATGCACACATATGCTCTTTAAAGGAGTACGCGTCTTTTGGTGAAACACTTGACAAAATCATAAAAGATGTCACAGTAGGAAAGGTCCTTCTTCCACAGCAGAAAGTTCCAAAATCCCCTTTTTTGTGTGTAGAATCCACAAGTTCAGTTATTGCCTCCCTGTGATGAGAATACCTGACAGTTGTAGACACCCAAGATGCCTATCTGCATATTCCCATTTACCCATCTCATCAGCCCCTTCTGCACTTGTGAGTAGACAAACATTTCCACTGCCATTTGCCTTCTTTGCACTGCCATTTGGCATATCCTCTGTTCCCAGAGTATTCACAAAGGTGCTTACACCCTTTCCTGATGTCTTATAAACCAAACGCATTCAGGTCACAGAGTATCTAAATGACCTTCTTTTCAAGAACTCCTCTCCCTACCAGCTATTAGCAAATGACCACAGAACTTTTCAGATACTTTAGGCTTTTGGTTGGGTAATCAGATTCCAAAAGTCTGCTTTCCAGGCATGTGTCCTGTACTGTATTCTAAGATATGCAATTTACAGGTATGTCAAAATTCCTTTTTTTAATTGCTATCAAATACTATCTACTGTATTTATATTGGAAAGCATCTAGTTAGTGCAGGGCACTAATAAAATTACATAATTGGGTGTTCCTCATTTGCAGAGTTTTGAAACACGTAATGAACTATGTCACTTGACCAACGCAATGTTTCAACTAAAGATGCAGAATAAGGATGGCCAAGAGAACATCCAGCACTTGGAAAGTAGTCTGAAAGAGGTGAACAAGCAGAAGCAAGAGGCTACAGCAACCACAGAGAAAATTCAAAACCAGCTTCATTTAGTAGAGAGAGAGAAGACTGATTGGTGCCAGGCTAGAGAACGACTGGAACAAGATCTGCAAACATCTAGCGCAAAGGTATTCTTTTTGTCAATGGCAACCGAGTAAAATTAACCTTTAAAGCTCCACTCTGGCCAAAACTCTTTTCATTTTATATTGAGTGGGAAAGGGATACAATCTTTATTCAGGTTTTGTATTTTCAGCTTTTGTTCCTATTGAACAAGATTGATCCTAATTTGCTGACAGGAGGGGAAGTGATGGGAAATCTCTTCAGCAGAAACACAGACTGCAAAAAAATACTTACCGTTTAAGACCTATCAAATTGTAACTATCTGTCTTTCTGTCCCAGTGAAAACTCCCCTTTCTTTATTTTCCTGCTGTCCATGGACAGGAAGTGAGTTGTAATCTTCTCACTGGGGTTAAGGACAGCAATAAAAACTTTTAAAGTAGTTACTCTTCCTATATCTATTAAAAAATACAACTTTTCACTAGAGTTGGGGTTTAATGTGATTTTTGTGAGCAAACCTGAAAGGAGTAAAGGAAAAATGCTCATACTTAAATGCATTTACATGAATTAAACTGAATGTCTGTTTTCCTTCTCTATTTAAAATAGATTGAAACACTGCTTCTCCAACACAGGCAGGAAAAACAAGATCTTCTGAATGGATTAGATGAAAGCAACAAACAGGTCAGTTTGTATAACTACTTCCAAACTCTGTTATTGAATCACGGTCTACATTTGTACCAGATAAAACTGGACTTTAACCACTTTTAATTTATTCTATTACTCCATACATTACACAGTTTTTTTTTTCTTTAGCCAGCCAGCTGAATGAAAAAAAAATGGAACTGATTTTCCCATCCATACATTTGATGTGGATGGGGAAATCCTTCTTGCTGTGTCATTGTATTCTGACAGCAGGACTCCGCAACTGCCAGAATACAGCGATCTGCATTGCAAACCTTTATCTGCATGTGCTGAATGTAAAAAATATAGCAACAAGCCCGTTCATGAAAAGTCAATCAAAAGATCGACTTCTCGTGAATGGGAACAGTCACACATGGATCCAAATTTGGCTGGTCCCTGCTGAACCAAACAAATTTCAATCCATTTCTGGCCAGGTTTAGCCTCATGTGCTACCAACACATTTCTAGAATTGACGGTAATAAATTTTACAGCATTTGGATTTCTAAAGGGATTTATCAGTGTGCATTCTGATAAGACAAGACTCTGCTTTGTTGTTTAGAGACAGGGATCGGTAACCAGGGCTGCTGGTTAAAATTACAGGGCCCCTGATTTCTCAGTCCCTTTTTTTTGCAGCCTCAGCTGAACTGCAGATGAATTAACAGGAAGCCTCTGTAGAAACAGTTTTACTATTCATTTATGAATGAACACAATGTGTTCATTCAGAAAAGTAAGGGGCTAGTAAATATACTGTATTTACACCACCTCCTCCCCCTCTATCGAGATGGAGAGGAGGGGAGACCAACAGCATTGCAGGTGGGAGGTACATAGGGGGGGGAGGCCCGGGTAGGGGAAGGTGGACAGGGAGGGTAATTGCTGCAGCAAAGGGGCAGTTACTGGAACTGGTCCCCCTGTGTGGCTCTCCCTGCAGCAGCTGAAAGCTGGCAGGAGGGAAAGTAGGAGAAGCTGACTTTCAGCTGCTGCAGGGAGAGCCACACAGGGGTATTGGTTTCAGTAATTGCCCTGCAGCATTGATCACCCTCCCTGTCCACAATCTGATTCCCCCTGCCTTGGCCCCTCTGCTGAGCTGATGGAGCCCAGGCCCTGTTCATGAGGGTGGGCAGTACCCTCTCATCAGCAGCCCTGTTGGTAATCCTCAGTGTATATCACGTGTGTAGGGACATCCTGTAATGTTTGCATCGGGCACTGAATCCTGCGTTAGGTGCTCACCATCCCTACCATCACTATGTTTCTCAGACCCTGAAGAGCCCTTTGGGTGTATGCCCCCATGACAAACAAAGCCTGGTTCGCTAGCAGGGTTTTGCAGGGTGCAGCTGAGAGTGACATTGTTACTTAAGTGACAACGTGGTCTAAAACTGGCCATTCCTTTGCCATGACTTGGTGAGAAGGGCAGGGGTCTTAACATTCTTGTTCTTTACACCCTCTTCTGACTCTAGCTCCATTTCAGGTATGCCTATCCAACAAAAGAAGAATTTTCTGCCGCTATGTCTGAGATCTTCGGACCTTCTAGAATCTTTGGCTTCCTAAGGGTCAAAAAATTACACCTTCCCCTCCTCCCTGACAGTGTTACTAAATCAGAGATGAAAAAGTCAAATCTGTTTGATGGTCAAGTGGAAGAAAGCAATGAAGACACTTGCACTGTAGTGGAAGCTGCAAACGATTTTACAACCCTTGCATTTTATGAGCCCCAAATTATGGCTTTTTGACAAATGCTCTCTACTATCAACACATTGATATCATGCACACTAGTCTTTGCCTAACAGCACCTGATTATTCTGTCAAAATAAGCACCTATGGGTACTAAGAGGTTAGCTAAGTCAAAAAAAGATTTAATCACAATCTTAAACACACAAATTAATTTTTATATCATGGGTTATATGCTTATACCTTCATGACACAAAAGCTGGGCCTGCCTCCCAGTGTATTCGTATGACTCCGGAGGAGAAGGCTGAACATTTTTCAACACTGAAATGTAGTGAAGTTAATTCTTCAGCTTCTTGCTATATGCTGGGAATGACAGATTCCTTTATAGAGCCAGTGCATACTAGTCTCTGGCCTGATACGACTTGTTCTGCACAACATCCATATACTCTATTGAGCTATATATGATGATTGGCCAAGAAGTTATTCACTCCTCCTGGGGTATTTTCTGCTTTGTACCCTATGGAAGAGCAATTCAGAAAGAGATATACTGTTCCCACTGTGGGCCCAGCCATTCTTGCACTAAATAATAAATCTACTCTTCTAATTGATGGCATATACTTATTTTAATGATTCAGTTGATAGGCATTTGGAGACTTTCTTGAAATCTTCCTTTGCTCTGGCACGTCCAACCCCGCAGCCAGATATTTCCACTCTATCAGTCAATCAATGGAAACTGGACTGCAAAACTCAACAGTAAACTTTCTCCTGGTATAAATAAGCCTGTTCTTTCTACAAGACTACAACTCATTCCTTCTGCCCTACTAGTCTGCGTAGATGCCATGGAGAATGCAGTTTGTCAGATGTACAGAATGTTGTTACTTTCTTTGCACATGCACAGAAATTTATGGTTCAGAACTTGTTTGGCTTCTGGGCCAGTGGGCTAAATTACAAAAATACTAACAGATTCCTCCATCCATACAGACTAGAGGAATAGTATGAATCTGAGACATCCTAGACCTCTTGGTCCAATCTGTCATTGCAAAGGAGTACAGCACAAAATGAATTTCTGTCTCTGGCCCCTCCATGCTTTCTACCCTCTAATCTGCCAGCATCAGCTCAAAAACCATCAGATCTACTGGCAACCTTATATCAACTTTAGTCACAAGGTGTGGTTGTACCTTTAGAGGAAAGGTTCAAAGTTTTATTTCTAACCTATTCACAGCCCCCAAACCATTGCCCCATTCTGGACTTAAAATCTCTAAAACAGATGTATGCATGTGCCACAATTCCAGAAGAAATTGGCAAGATCTGTAATCTCTTCTATAAGATGAGGGGAATTTCTTGCATCAGTAGATAAAAGATGCCTTTCTACATATCCCCATCTTTACTCAATATTAAAGCTGTAGTAAACTCTGCTTTTGAACTTGTGCCCATAGGTTAGCCTATACTAAAGCTTACCTGTAGATACAGTGAAGATCTCCTAAACTGCCTGGAAGGGAGTCAGGCTGAAGATGGAAGCATTGTCAGTGGCGACAGCACGCATCTGGAGGGCTTTGTTTTGGCACTGCCATTCCCTGCACCTCCAGTATTCACAAAAGTGCTTGCTCCACTACTTGCGCTTGTGCAGATCCAGGGCATTCATGTACATGAATGACCTTTGCTGAATGACTCCTCCGCTACAACATTGTGTATCAATGTTCAAAGGATCATTCAGTTCCTTCAGACCTTCGGCTGGCTAATCAACTTTTTCTCTCCAGCCATTACACCATTTGCAATACAAAGTCCAAGCCAAAATCTTTCTTCCTCTAGATAAAATTACCTTCCTAAGGTCCCACACATGGACCCTCATATCCCAGCGGCACCCCTCAGTTTGCTTGTGCATGTGGGTTAATGATGGCCTCCTTTAAGGCAGTACCTTTTGCCCAGTTTCACTCCAAGACTCTTCAACTCGACATCCCCACGGCATAGAACAATGTAAAACATGCATTCTCTGGACTGTCCTATGTCTTCAATCCATTCAGATAAAACCATTGGATTTTCCTAACTCTTGTTATAATTTATAGTGTTTGTTCAGATGTCAACTTTTTATGGTAAACCATTTTGAGGTGTGATCATCTGAGTTGATTCATCATGTGAGATTGTGTGGCCTACTTATATGAAAAAAAGAGGTTTTTCAGAAAAGTGAAGAATTTGCCCATCAGATTCTGGGCTTCACCTTCCTTTTTATGTGGAGATACATTTTCCCCAGGTTTTTTAAACAGGCTGTTCTGATGTTTTTCAGCTCTTGGTTGTGGTAACACTTCAAGAAGAAGTATCATCATTAAAGCAGGAAAAGCGATTTCTGGAGGAACAGCGTAATTCTGTTACCAGACTACTGAAAGAAGCCACTGACAAGGCAAGATGACACATTGAATAAAGTCCTGTTGGATGTTATATATACACACACACACACACACACACACGCACATGCACACACACACACGCACACACATGTAAAGAAGGTCAGTAGAAGGTTGAAAAATGGTATGGCTAGACTGGTTTCTGCACACTATTACAAGGGGTTCTGAACTAGTAAAACAACTGCCTGTTGTCTATGGCAAAGATGATCTTCAGACGATATTTTTTGTAATGCCTGAACAGGTTAGTCAAGCAGAAGAACTTAAGGTTGAACTAAAAGAAGCTCAGGAGGAATGTCATACTCTAAAGAAAACACAGGGTGAAACTAAGAGCAAAACTGGAGGCATCTCAGGATCAGGTAAAATTGTGGTTTTACTTAAATATTCAGTTACACCTGAGATATTTGGTAATGTTTATTAAGACAAGAACAATGATGATGCATAGTGGTCCATCACAATACCCTGAAATGAAATCTATTTGGCTGTTAACAAGCCCTTAAACTAGCCAAATATGGGTGCAACATAATTGAGTAGCGTCAGGGGTGCTTGCAATTGTCGAAGAGCTAAACGAGTTTGACTCCTGCATTGCTGTTGTTTTTTTATGTACTATGTATATATTTGTTTGTGTATATGCATTTACGATTTGTCATTCTAAAGGTATTAGAAGCCAACAGCAAGCTGACCCTTGCACAGTCGCAGCAAGTACGGGAAGTCCAGCAGTGGAAGGAAAAGATGAGCAGTTATGTTCCTAAAGAGCAGTTGTCACAACTGCAGAGCAGACTGTCAGAAGAACAGCAGAAGGTCCAGCAGCTCCAAGAGCGGTTGAGGTTTCATGCAGAGCAGACCAACCGGCAACTGGCAATGCAACAGGTACATCAGAGATGGTATACAGTGTATATATAGATCACAAAATACCCTTAGTGTATTTATGAAATGCAGAATATAGTGCTTTTTCAGGAATCTACATAATAAAACCACATTTTAATTTTTTTTACTGTACACATAAATACACAGTTATTATACTCAAACGTTTACAAAACAGTGAATGGTCATGCTGCCCTGCTACTGAGAGATCTAAGGGGTGTTTTAAAGTTCCTTATTGGTGGAACTTGTCTATGACAATGTCTTTTTTTTTTTTATTAACCTATGTAACATAGGGCTGGTAATAGGCCACTTCCATAGGAGCCAGGGCACTATACTGGAACAAATTACAGTTGTAGAAAGCACATCTTCTCCCTTAAACCATTTTGGGTTCCATAGTCCTCTATTTTATATGTCATGTTTTGGAGGTAAGGCACAGGTTTACTTTGAAGTGATTGAAAAGGCTGTTTGTTTTCTTTTTTTTATCAACTGTGTTATACATACCTGCTCTGTACAATGGTTTTATACAGAGCAACCCTGAACCTCTTCTTCAAGGGTCCCCCCTGGCGCTCTTGGCTCCTCCTCTTCTCTGGGTAACCCCCCTGTGTCCATAGACGCACACAGCACAGCTCGGCCCTGCTCCCTCCTCACATGATTTGACTGACAGCAGCAGGAGTTAATGGTCCCTGCTTCATTCAGCCAAGCTTCTGAGAGCACAGAGAGGGGAGAGAAGAACCAAAGCTGGGTACAATGCTGGATCAATACAAGTAAGTATTAAGTGCAGAGAATGCATTAAGGTGAAAAAAAATTTTAGCCTTTTCAACAACCACTGTAAAGACTAACATGGAGATTATCAAAAATGTGCAATCTTTTATTTACCGTATTTTCCGCGTATAAGACGACTTTTTAACCCCTGGAAATCTTCTACAAAGTCGGGGGTCGTCTTATACGCCGGGTGTTGTGCTGAAACCTTACCTGTACTTCCGAGCTGACGCTTCTGCGCATGCTTCGGCAGCAGTAGCTCGCTGATCACCATTCCTCGCAGAACTGCATGAGACGTCGGATGCAGCCGTTCATGCTCGATTGACTTGACTGAAACTGCACATGTGCAGAAGCGTCTTCTTGCCGCTACCCGATGTGTATCCCTTCTCTGCATATCACAGTTTCAGTCAAGCTCAATCGAGCACTGAACGGCTGATCCGAGTCTCATGCAGTTCTGTGAGGAATGGTGATCAGCGATCGTCTACTCTGCTGCCGAAGACATGTGCAAAGAGCGTCAGCTAGGCAGTACCTTGAGTTCTTGACCCCTTTAGGAAATACGGTAATTACATTAATTATTGTATTAAGTGGCAGTTCTCAGATCATCTTGGAGACAGGGAGGGCTGGGCAGGCAGGGAGAGCTGAACCCAAAAGGCAGGCTTTGTAGCAGTGTGCACAGAAAATACTGGTACATCCACCGTGTTGGTTGGTAGAGACTTAACATGGCCCAAACCCTATATTTTAACAGGAAAATTTGCAATCTTTTATTTACGGTACAAATCATCAGCTGTCAGAATAAGTAAAGGTAAATACTAAAAGGCAACTAAATGCATGCAAGCTCCACACAACAGTACCCAGATTGCCTGATAATAGCACCTGAACAATTGAATGCCAGGTTTAATAGCTTGCTCCTTACACTGCATTGAAGCTAGCAATAGGGAACCAAGTATATACACATGCATTCATTTATAATGTCCCTGCAGGAGGAACATGAGAGGCTGCTACGGAGGATAGAAGAACGCATGCAGGAAGTAGAAATGAATCTAAAGAACGTGCGGGTCATGTTACGGGAAAAAGTGGACCAGCTAAAGGAACAGGTAGGTGTAGCAGTGCAGTGGGAGGTGCATATATGCGCAGGATATGTTGAACTGTTCAAGCACTGGTGTTACAATTGCATTTTTTTTTTTAATGTTTTGAACATAGCAAAATATCAGTTCTGTTACTGAGCTCTGTTTTTGGAAGTCACTCATAAAAGGCTATAAACTCAGTTTCTGCTGTAAAGGTTTTCTTCTTTTCCTAAACGTCACACCCATGGGAAATCAATTTTGACATCTGTGGGTTTTTCCCCCCTTGACATTGTGATATTGCTGTTCAGTTGGTATGCAACATTAGGACATGTTCTGAAACTTTACAGATACTGAATCTATTTAAAGGATAAGTTCACCTATAAAAAAAGAAATGCCTAATTTTGTTTTACAAAGGGTTTATTTAGTTTTTTTGAAGTGTTTTCAGTACAAAACGCAATGTCATATTACAATAAAGTGTAACAAAAGCAAGGTGTAAAATGCCACATCCATTGTGAGCAAAAAGCAACAATACAAAAGAGCAAAGATTCTCTGACCAATGAGCAATAAAGAATATATTACATAGTAGGTGCCAGCCTAGCTGGGCTTTCTTCTCGCCAGCAAATTACATATTGGTGTGGGAAAAAGGCAAGGTAGCCCGCATATTGTGCAGGGCAAATCAGGAGCAAATAAAAGTAGAAGGAAAAGGAGGGGAAAAAAAGGTGAGGGGGGGGGAATAAAGGTCAAAAGGGGAGGGGGGGGGGGGATAAAGAGGTCCCGCAGGGTCCAGGCCGAGACATGAGGTTAGGGCACTGGTTGTCAAGTCAGGTTGAGAGTAAGGTGCAGTCCAGATTCAGACTGGCGTTGTAAGATATCCATGAGTCCCAGACCTTTAAAAACATAGCATGGTTGTCATTAAGTATTGGGATGAGTTTCTCATGTACCATAGTCCCCATAAGTCATTTCTTAACCTTCCCAAAGGGGAGGAATTGTTAGTGCCAGGCTCTAGCTATAAGCAGCCAGGAAAACAAAGCCCACAATTTTCTTTGGTTCCTGGAAGGAGTTGAGATGGGTTTAAGCAATAGGGCTTCCCACAGATTACAGGCCAGGGGGATATTGAGGACCGATCTAATCATAGCGTACACCTGCGATCAAGAACGGATCTCCTTGGGGCGAATCCACCAAATGTGAAGTAGGGTACCCTGTTCTCAACAGACATGGAAACAAGTCAGATCGAACAAGAATAGATGATAGTCTTATACCAATGTGAAAGCAACTTGAAAGTATTTTTTTGAGCTAAGATGTTCAGGCAGCATATGGAGGTGGCAAGCCAAATGTTATTCCATGCCGCCTGGTCCAAGGTCTTACCTAGGTCACCCTCTACTTTAGCTATACATATTGGAGTTTACTCAAGGTCATATAATTCACGAGAGAGACAGAAAGGTCAGAGACAAGACCTTTAGAGTGCGATTCTTTTGCACATTGATTCTCAAATGAAGTCAAACATTTAGGAGGGCCTGTACAGTAGCAGAGAAGGCTGCAAATATAATGTGCAATTTGGAGGCGGTGGAAGGCTTCTGAGGATGTTAACTGCCAATGTTCATGCAGGTAATCAAAAGATTTGACGCGATTGGTAGCCAAGAGCTTGTAAACATACTTGACCCCTTTCATCTGCCACCAGTGAAAGGCCAGAGAGGTTGTCATATGCAGGATTTCCAATAAATGCACAATATTTTGCAGTTAAAACAATGTGCATTTATTATTTTTTTCTAAGGAGCCTGTAAAGTATTGCACCTGCGATCAACAGACCGCAGGTGCAATGTCAATCTCCTGCAGACTGTAGTAGAGTAGTGCTGTCTGCCCGTACCTCCTGTACAGACAGGCAGTTACTGAAGTTCAGGAAGATCAGTGGAAATACAAGAACGCTCACTAGCGCCCTTGCAGTTTATTGAGAACTACAAGCTATCTGCCGCAATGGCAGGCAGTACTTGTAGTCAATTAATTCACAGGAAACTGAATGACGCGTGGACAGCGAGTCCAGGGAGAAGACCCTCCGCCCACTGTCACAATGGAGGATCGGGTCAGGGTGCCGGCAGGTGCTTTAGTAACATGTTACATGTTACACCCCGAAATATGGATGTCACATGTTACTAAAGGTGAATGCTTCTCATTTAAAGTGCAGAGCTAGTCTTCCAAGGTAACCAGTCATCTCTACTCCATTCATGTAAGCATATTAAAGGGATAAGTGTGTACAGTGAACATAAAAAGTCTACACACCGCTGTTAAAATGTCAGGTTTCTGTGATGTAAAAAAATGAGACAGATAAATCATTTCAGAACTTTTTCCACCTTTTAATGAGACAACTCAATTGAAAAACAAACCAAAATCTTTTAGGGAGAGAGAGAACATAAAAAACTAAAATAATGTGGTTGCATAAGTGTGCACACCCTCATATAACTGGGGATGTAGCTGTGTTCAGAATTAAGCAATCACATTCAAAATCATGTTAAATAGGAGTCAGTACACACCTGCCATCAATTAAAGTGCCTCTGATTAACCCCAAATAACGTTCAGCTGTTCTAGTACGTATTTCCTGACATTTTCTTAGTCGCATCCTACAGCAAAAGCCATGGTCCGCTGAGATCTTCCAAAGCATCAGAGGGATCTCATTTGGAGTGTTTTTGCAAGGAAGAGGGGGGCAAAAAAAATTGCCAAGTTAAGATGTGCCATGCTGATCACTTACCCAAAAATTGACTGAGTGTGCAATAAAATCAAAAAAAGCTTCAACAAAGTATTAATTTAAGGTGTGCACATTATAACCATATTATTTTAGTTTGTTATAATTTTTACTTCCTCCACCTAAAAGCATCCAGTTTGTTGTTCAGCTGAGTTGTACAGTTTATAGGTTCCATTAACACCTTCCCGCCCAGCCTATAGCAGATTGTCGGCCAGGTGGGACACACTCGTCGTTGTAACAGGGCATCATATATGATTCCTGAAAAAGGCAGCCATGCATTTCTTTTGGGCCACACAGCGGCACGATTTCACTAGCTGTATCCACGGGACACAGCCAATGACCTATCACTACACGGGCCCGTTTTGTGTTATGTGAACTGTTACCAATCACAAAAAGACTCACAAATACAATGGATGGCTTCCTGTCAAAATTCATGGTATACAACTGTGTTTTAGCTGTGTTTGATCAAAGCAGTCACATATACAGACAGGGCCATAAAGCCCGTCTGTGTCATGTGATGAGCTTTGCCCAATCACAGCTAAATCACAACAAAAGACTGAACAATCAGTTTTGGTGGAACAATGATTGCAAAATCAATAAATACTTGGTATTAGCAACATAACTGTGTAAAGAAAAAAAAAAAATCACATGCCCAGAGTAGTCCAGTGTTTACTATGGTAACATTATATTGCTTTAGTCATAGTTGTTTAATGCTTTCATACAGTTTTTCTGTTATAAAAGTTTGCACATAAATAATTTTCTTCATAAATTTAGGCCAAGATGTATTTCTACTACATGTCTGTGGTGAAAATAACCCAAATTAGTATTTTTTTTTTAGTCTTTTAGGAAGTAGAGAGTTCACAAACTATGGTATTTCTGATTGATCAATCCTGAAGTACATGACGGCCAATCTTAATTTCTTGTAGGTTTTTTTGTCAGAACAGTACAGATATCCCCCAAATGACCCCTTTTTGAAAGTAGACAGTCCGACGTATTTCATAACGGGCATGGCGAGTATTTTGAAGTTGTAATTTTTTTTGTCATTTTTCACTGTACTGTCACCAGTGCAGTACAGTGTCATCATATAACTGGCATGGCGGTGATCAGGGACACTGACTGGTGACAGTACGAAAAAAAAAAAAATATATTATATACTTTTTTTTTTTTTTTTTTTTTATTAAATTTTTTTTCTCTTTTTTTAAGATTTTTTTTTTCATATTTCACTATGACCAAAGTAGTATAATGTTACCATAGTAACATTGTACTACTTTGGGGAAGTGATCTATATATTTTTTTTTTTACAATTTGCTTATAGCAAAGAATTACTTTGCTATAAGCAAACATTTACCTGAATGAAATCAATTCATTCAGGGGTTTTTTTGTTTGTTTTTTTTTCCACTGTGATTTGGCCACAGCTAATCACATGACACAGCTGCGCTGTGATTGGCCCAGCTTGTGCATGTGATTGCTGTGACCATTCCATTCACAGCTAGCCACACTTGATAGGAAGCCATCCATTGTATACAACTGTCATGTGACCTGCTGTGATTGGTCACAGCAGGTCACATGGTACTGGCAACAAGGTCGGTACACAGATCTGTCATCGGCCGTGTCCGAGGTACACAGCCAGTGACAGATCGCGTCACTGCGTGGCTCTGATGGCATGCAAACTGCGCATGCCTGAAAGGAAACCATATGGCGTCCCTACCCGGAGGGATGAGGATTTTTGCCGGCCGCCATTTAAAAAAAATTATTATTTTTATTTTTTTTACATACTGTCACCAGTCAGTGTCAATTTGTAAAAAAAGAAAAAAACTCAGTGATAATTAAATACCACCAAAAAAGGCTCTATTTGTGTTAAACAAATGATAAAAAAATTTTTTGGATAGTGTTGCATGACCACCAATTGTCATTCAAAGTCTGACAACACTGAAACTGAAAGCTTGACACCTAGTTGGCATGAAGGGGGGGAAAAGTTCTGAAATGATTTATCTTTGTCTCATTCTTTTACATCACATAAACCCGACATTTTAACAGGGGTGTGTAGACTTCTTATATCACTGTAAGTGCCTGCAGAAGTAACACATTTTACATGATAAACTCTTAGTGGTGTGGCATTACAATAGTGTGGATTAAAGTAGAAGTTGATCGCTTGAACATGTATTTAGGTTGTAACATGTAACATGTTCAACACATGGCAGGCTCTTGTAGAAAATAAATAATAAATGCAAATTTTTTTAGCTCCAAAAATATGGATTTATTATTTTTTTTAAAGGTGAATTTACTCTTTAAGACTTTTTACTAGTGCAACAAATAATGATTTGCAATGCATATTCCTGTTGGATGCTACATGTGCATCAGAAATAGGAAAATCCAATTTGTACAAAATATAGTTTAAAAATGTTGCATATATTTTGGGTGCAAAGAATAAGTGCATCAGCGCACCAAGCAGCAGGTTGTGCACAATTACTTATAAACTATGGTCATTTCAATAAAATAATTTTGTGACAATTCCCCTGTTGTAATTTCTCACTCTGTGCCACCAACCCAAGTTTGTAGTGTGGTACAAGAGAATGAAAGGTTGAATTTGAGGGTAAAAAGTAATCTTTCATTCTGACACTTATTTGCAGCATGCTTTACACCATACATCCAAAACTTTGCATTGCACTTGGTGATGTAAGGCTTAGATGCAGCTGCTCGGCCATGGAAACCCTATCCATGAAGATCTCTATGCACGGTTGTACTAATCTGAAGGCCACAGTTGGCTACTTCTGTGCACTGTGCCTTCAGCATACGTTGGCCCCGCTCTGTCATTTTATGTGGCCTATCATTTTGTGGCTGAGTCGATGTTGTTCCCAGTAGCTTCCACTTTGTTATAATACCACTAACAGTTGACCGAATATTTAGTAGCAAGGAAATTTCACAGATGGGGCTTATTGCACAGGTGGCAACCTATCACAGTACCACTTGAATTCACTGAGCTCCTGAGAGCGACCCATTCTTTCACAAATGTTTGTAGAAGCAGTCTGCATGCCTAGGTGCTTGATTATTTATACCTGTGGCCATGGAGGTGATTGAAACACCTGAATCCAATGATTTGGATCCGTGCCTAATATATTTGGCAATATTGTGTGTGTGTGTGTATCCCCTGGTTCAGAAATCCGCAGGGCGTGTTTTACACGGACACGAGAGCCCATTCATTTGAATGGACTCCTGTGCCCCAGGGCACGTAGGGAAGAAGTCCCTGCACTTCTTCTGAAACCGCAGCCTGCACGGGAACCTCGGTTTCCAGTGCAGGCGTGCCATTGGAATCAATGGCACCCGCCCGCGGGTGCATTCTGTGTGGGTGGTGTGGACGGATTTTTGTGTGGATCCACAACGGCACCACCCGTACATACAGTCAGGTCCATAAATATTGGGACATGGACACAATTCTAACATTTTGGCTCTATACACCACCACAATGGATTTGAAATGAAACGAACAAGATGTGCTTTAACTGCAGACTGTCAGCTTTAATTTGAGGGTATTTACATCCAAAAGGTGAACGGTGTAGGAATTACAACAGTTTGCATATGTGCCTCCCACTTATTAAGGAAGCAAAAGTAATGGGACAGAATAATAATCATAAATCAAACTTTCACTTTTTAATACTTGGTTGCAAATCCTTTGCAGTCCATTACAGCCTGAAGTCTGGAACGCATAGACATCACCAGGCGCTGGGTTTTCATCCCTGGTGATGCTCTGCCAGGCCTCTACTGCAACTGTTTCAGTTCCTGCTTGTTCTTGAGGCAATTTTCCCTTCAGTTTTGTCTTCAAAAGTGAAATGCTTTCAATCGGATTCAGGTCAGGTGATTGACTTGGCTTGCATAACATTCCACTTCTTTCCCTTAAAAAACTCTTTGCATTTGCAGTATGCTTTGGGTCATTGTCCATCTGTACTGTGAAGCGGCGTCCAATGAGTTCTGAAGCATTTGGCTGAATATGAGCAGATAATATTGCCCGAAACACTTCAGAATTCATCCTGCTGCTTTTGTCAGCAGTCACATCATCAATAAATACAAGAGAACCAGTTCCACAGCCATACATGCCCACGCCATGACACTACCACCACCATGCTTCACTGATGAGGTGATGAGGTGGTATGCTTAGGATCATGAGCAGTTCCTTTCCTTTCGTGGCATACTCTTCTCTTCCCATCACTCTGGTACAAGTTGATCTTGTTCATCTGTCCATAGGAGTTGACCAGAATATTTTTTAGATGCAAGGAAACTTAATCTGGCCTTCCTGTTTTTGAGGCTCAACAATGATTTACATCTTGTGGTGAACCCTTGTATTCACTCTGAAGTCTTCTCTGATTGTTGACTTTGACACACATACACCTACCTCCTGGAGAAGTGTTCTTGATCTGGCCAAGGTGTTGTGAAGGGTTTTTTCTTCACCAGGGAAAGAATTCTTCGGACCCACCACAGTTGTTTTCCGTGGTCTTCCGGGTCTTTGATTTTGCTGAGCTCACCGGTGCGTTCCTTCTTTTTAAGAATGTTCCAAACAGTTGTTTTGGCCACGCCTAATGTTTTTGCTATCTCTCTGATGGGTTTGTTTTGTTTTTTTCAGCCTAATGATGGCTTGCTTCATTGATAGTGACAGCTCTTTGGATCTCATCTTGAGAGTTGACAGCAACAGATTCCAAATGCAAATAGCACACTTGAAATGAACTCTGGACCTTTTATCTGCTCATTGTAATTGGGATATGAGGAAATAACCACCCCATGGACACGTAGGGAAGCCAATTGTCCCATTACTTTTTCCCTTAACAAGTGGGAGCCACATATGCAAACTGGTGAACCTACACCGTTCACCTGTTTGCAGGAGTAAATACCCTCAAATTAAAGCTGACAATGGCAGTTAAAGCACATCTTGTTCGTTTCATTTCAAATCCATGTGTGGTGGTGTGGAGCTGCAAAAATGTTTTTTGTGGATCCCAACGGCACCACCTGACTGTATGTGAACCTAGCCTTAATGTATGTGTGTATATGTGTGTATTGTGTGTGTGTATATATATATATATATTAGTGAAGGAAATAAGTATTTGATCCCCTTCTGATTTTTTGAATGTTTGCCCACTCACAAAGCAATGATCAGTCTAAAAATTGAATGGTAGGTGTATTGTAACACTAAAGACAGAAAAGCACCAAAATAAAATCTAACAAATGATGTACTGATTTGCATGTTCATGAGGGAAATAAATATTTGATCCGCTATCATTCAGCAGGATTTCTTGCTACCAGGTGTCTTTCATACAGGTAACAAGCTGAGATTAGAAGCATTCTCTTAAAGGGAGTGCTGCTAATCTCATTTTGTTACCTGTATAAAAGACACCTGTCCACAGGAGCAATCAAACAATCAGATTCCAAACTCTCCACCATGGCAAAGACCAAAGAGCTGTCCAAGGATGTCAGGGACAAGATTGTAGACCTACACAAGGCTGGACTGGGCTACCAAACTATCGCCAAGCAGCTTGGTGAGAAAGTGACAACAGTTTGTGCAATCATTTGCACAAATGGAAGAAACACAAAACAACTGTCAGTCTCCCTAGGTCTGGTGCACCATGCAAGATCTCACCTCGTGGAGTGTCAATGATCATGAGAACAGTGAGGAATCATCCCAGAACTACACGTGAGGATCTTGTCAATGATGTCCAGGCAGCTGGGACCACAGTCACCAAGAAAACAATTGGTAATACACACTACACCGACAGGATTGAAATCCTGCAGTGCCCGCAAGGTCCCTCTGCTCAAGAAAGCACATGTCCAGGCCCATCTGAAGTTTGCCACTGAACATCTGAATGATGGAGAGGAGCACTGGTTGAAAGTGTTGTGGTCAGATGAGACCAAAATCGAGCTCTTTGGCATCAACTAAACTCGCCGTGTTTGGAGGAGGAGGAAATGCTGCCTATGACCCCAAGAACACCATCCCAACTGTCAAACATGATGGTGGAAACATTCTGCTTTGGGGGTGTTTTTCTGCTAAGGGGACAGGACAACTGCACCGCATCAAAGGGACGATGGACAGGGCAATGTACTGTCAAATCTTGGGTGAAAACCTTCTTCCCTCAGCCAGGGGCATTGAAAATGGGTCGTGGATGGGTGTTCCAGCATGACAATGACCCAAACACACACGGCCAAGGCAACAAAGGAGTGGCTCAAGAAGAAGCACATTAAGGTCCTGGAGTGGCCTAGCCAGTCTCCAGACCTTAATCCGATTGAAAATCTGTGGAGGGAGCTGAAAGTTTGAGTTGCCAAACGTCAGCCACCAAACCTTAAGGACTTGGAGAGGATCTGCCAAGAGGAGTGGGCCAAAATCCCTCCTGAGATGTGTGCAAACCTGATGGCCAACTACAGGAAACGTTTGACCTCTGTGATTGCCAACGAAGGGATTTGCCACCAAGTACTAAGTCATGTTTTGTGAAGGGGATCATATACATATTTCCCTCATGAACATGCAAATCAGTTCATAATTTGTTAGACATGTTTTTCTTCTGAATTTGTGTTGCTATTCTATCTCTGTGTTACAATACACCTACCATTCGATTTTTAGACTGATCATTTCTTTGTGAGTGGACAAACATTCAAAATCAGCAGGGATCAAATACTTATTTCCCTCACTGTGTGTGTGTGTGTGTGTGTGTGTGTGTGTGTATGTATGTATATATATATATATATATATATATACACACAGTATATATATCATGTATGTGATGGATTCCTTTTACATTGTACATATTAACATACAGTTATGTTACATATTGATGTAGGTACCTCTAGTAATCCAGCAAAAACTTTATTCACCTATTTTTGTAACAGCTGGAGAAGAATGCAAAATCCGATATCTTGCTGAAGGACCTGTATGTGGAAAATGCCCAGCTGATGAAGGCTCTGCAGGTGACTGAGCACAGACAGAAGAGTGCAGAGAAGAAGAACTATCTCCTGGAAGAGAAGATTGCAGCACTGAACAAAGTCGTTAGGAAAATTGCACCTGCCTCTCTGGCAGTTTAATGCTGGGTCTGCACTGAGAGACTGACAGCAACTGATCACTTAGTAGTCAGGGAATCAGTGCCACCTCACCCCCCAGCCTTAGTGTTTGGCATCTCAGGATGAGTTTTACAGCAGCACCTTAGTGCCCAAAGACATGAGATGATGGTAGGTAGAGCAAGCCAACGGAATGCTGCATAAACATGATTGTTTCAGCCAATTTTCCATTTTTTTTTTAAATTCAGCAGGTGTGCCCGGTGCATGCCTGATGTGGATAGAACAATGGTAAATAATGGTTCCTCTGAAATTGGCTGCCAGGAATTACCGGTATAGGCTACAGGGCACCCATTGCAGTATAAATATTTCCTCACCGTATGTAATTGGCACATGCTTTTATTTATCATCTCATGTCTGAGGGATGCTTTACTTCCAGTTGTACAGCGCAATCTATAAAGTGCAAAATAAAAAGGAGTATTTTATGATGAGCTGAACATATTTACTATTAACTAGACAATCCCATAGGAAAGGTTGGAACACTTGAAGGGGTACTTTATCCAATGCAAGAAGCGCCACATGCTGCCAGCACCAATTTGTTGCAAAACAAACAGTCCCCTTTTGGTCTTGGGAGCACAGACTCTATAAAAATGGTCTTTCCTGGACACAAGGGGCAGGAAGAACAAGGTATTATTCCGATCATCTTTTAGTTTAAAGGGGAGAACCTATTTAATAGTGGTTGATAAAAAAAAAGACTAAGGCTAGCTGTACATTGTTCAATTTTCTTTTTTCATTTCCTTTAGGTTTACCTATCTATGGTTATGTAGTGCAAGGGCCTGCCTCAGTGCATACAAATTGAAATTGTTTAGGTTTGACCTCATATTATATGGCTTTGGTAAATCTAATGGAAAATTGTATAATGTATGGCCAGCCTCAGTCACATACCTCTTTCTCTTATGTTTCTCCATGATCTCACTGATATCCAAACTGCACTTTTCTTTTGCAATTGGCTCATAATTGCAAGGATTTTAGAAGGACAGAAGTTAATCAACTGATCCATCCTGCAGTACAAGGTTCTCACTGTTGCGAGTTTCTCTTTTGACCACCACAGTAATATACACATGCTAGTCTGCTGTTAATTGTATGTACTGTATGTGCTGCAACACATTATGCATGTGACTGGCTTACCACCAACAAAAGGATCAAACATTACTTAAATGGTGTGACAGTTACCTGATGCTGCTGAGATCTGGAGAACAATTTACTGTTACAGTATATTACCTGTTAGTGACTGCTGTGCAGTCTGTTGGAATATATTCTGTATATAGCAGTTTTGTCTGTGACGGTTGCACTACAAAACCTGAAATTTCTGAAAGACTTTGTAAATAATCAAAGTACAACATGCCCTATGTCATAGCAACTAACCGGCATTATTTCTTCTTTAACATCAATAAACTGTATTCTGGTTGGTTGCTATAGCATAGTCCACTTTTGCATATCATTCCGGTACAGTACAAGGACTTTTTCAGTATTTTTTGTGGGCATTGATAATACATGGCTCCATTGGCTCACATGTAGAAGATTTTATATATAAAAATGTGCCCGATATTGTTTAAACAGTGTTTACGCTGTCATTGCCAGCCTTTACTTCTGAAAATGCTACTTGCCCAGCTGTCATGCTGATACTTCACCTTTAGTACTCTGGAGTCACCTCTCTGCCTAGTTAGTAAAATATTACTTTTTGTGACATTTGTCCTATTTAACCCCTAGACGCCAAGCGCATGCAAATATGCAGCCTCTCGGCATCTGAGCCTTGGGGCCGAGCGGCCACAAATTTGCATGCCATTAGAAAATACATATGTGCTGAGATCGCGCACCCTGCACGCTCCCAGCACATATGTCCATAACTCACGGAAAGGTCCCGATCTCCCCTTGCGATTGGGACCTTTTCCGATCATGTGACCACCATGACAGCGAATCACGGCGGTCACATTACCCTAAAACCCCGCCCACCTCCCAGCTTCTGAAACTCTTAAAGGGGTTAAATTTGTAGCATTATTGCTCTTGAACGCAGAAGTAGGTGGCTGCAGCTGCTTCAATAACTGGCATTTTCAGAATTAGGGCAGAATGACAATATTTTTGTCTGCAACAATTGCTCACAGAATTAGCTGTCACTTTCCCCCCAGCTAAAAAAAAAAATTCCTTTTCGTTTTTTTTTTCCCAGAGTTAAAAGAAACAAAGTTTCCTTTTAGTTTTTTTCCTGAGATAAAAGAAACAAAGTTTCCTTTAACTATAGTTCACAGAATTAGCTAATTCACTATTCCCCGGAGTTAAAGGAAAAAAAAGAGCCGGCAATTGCATTTAAAAACCGGCAGGCGACAAATTTATGTACGTTGCAAACGGGTACATGAAGTTAGAGCAGGCACCAAGTGCAGAGACACAATGAGACCAGAGTATATTGTACATATGGACACTGTCCTCAGTGCAGCTAAGCTTCCTCCCTCGGGCAAGAATTTTTTAAGCTGGGTGGGCAGAGCCTGATGGGAGACACTTGTTCCCCATCAGGTCATCTCTCCTTGTGATTGATAGCAGGCAGTGTGCGATCCATACCCATTAGGCAGCCTGCTATTGGCTTTAAACTCTGCCTGCTGTCAATCACAAGGAGAGCAGACCTGATGGGGAACTAATGTCTCAACTTTCCCATCAGGCTTTGCCCAATCTCAGCATCATTGGTTGCTAGGAGCCTGTTGGCTGTAAAACCTACAGCATCACTGACACCAGTAACAGGTGGGGAAGCAGTAGCATCAGCAAAAATGCTGCTTTCGACACAGCGTACAGACAGGCACTCTGCCTGTCTCTGTATGCCAACTTACAGTTGGTCTTAATTATGTCCAGTTTTGTTTTCTATGAACTGGAGGAAATTATTTTTTAATTGTGTGCAGTAATATCTCCACTTCTTAAAAATTAGCACTATCAAGGACAACCTGAATTTGCCATGTTTTTGCATCTGGCGCAGGACCTTTTCATGAGCCATACTGCCAGTAAAGTGGAGCAGATGCTTTATTGAATTACCTTGTGGTGTTTTAGATGCTAAATTGTGCTGTTTGTTTGGCACAAATAACCATCAAGTTTCTGTATAGCAGGCCATAGACGGGTCGAAATCTGAAAGTTCTGCTGAGCGAAAAACTAAAACAGCTCATACAATTGTGCCATCAATTGTTTCATTTTTCCAATAAAATTCCATCATGTTGGATTAGGCACTTGTGATTGCGGAATGAAAATCGAGTGTCGCAGCTGGCACATTCATTTTGCAAAAAAAAAACTAACAATTCAAAATTTTCATTCATTTTTCGCATCATCTATGGCCTGCCTAGATGTGTAAATGACTTGAACTCATCTCTTGCTCAGAGTTGGCAAACAGGTTTGTAATAAAGACACTTATTTACCACATGTGCTATATGATAGTGTTGATTTGGTTTATGGTACTGGTTGGGTGGATGTACTAAACCAAATTTTATTGTGCTGAGAGGCACAGCTAGGGAGATACACTATAAGCAAACGGTCACTGATAATATTGAACCTCCAAATAAATTAAATCAAACGTAAAACATCTAATGAATAGGCCATGGTGAAAAATGTATATAGTAAAAACTATAATACCAGCAGCCATTATAGTCACTAAACCGCATCCAATAGAAGATGGGTCTTGTTTTTTAACACTTTCTTCCTTTTTAAATTTTACCCTTCAGGTTGATTTCCTTTTAAAATGGCAAGCATTAATGCATACTGTGCGTTTTTTAATTTAAAACTTGTCCTGTAACATGATTGTAGCCAAGAGTGAATGTCTTGACTCCTTGTAGCATTTTTTTTAGGTACATCAGCAGGAACAGGATGAGGGTAACAGTATTTAGCTCAGATTACTTGAATATATTACATTTATATGAATTGTAAATTTACCCCAAAACTGAAACTTGAGGTTTGAGTGGACTGTGCTGGGTGGAATCGCTTACTGGCTTCTAATAACTATCTGGAACTCCAATGGCTACATCTGGGTTTAGGTATTCTTACCTCCAACCTTAGTGGTCACATGTGGGATATGTTACTGCTTCTGCTGTACTGTCCATAGTACAGCATGAATAAATAACCAGTACCATGGGTGAAACTGCCTAAAATATACCAAAACCTGGTACTAGTAGTAATTGGCTGGAATAGATGCAAGAATACCATTGCACTTTTGCCAGAAAGACATTCCGGTATCCTTGCAACAGTTTGGAAGGTATTAAGGATACGAATACATGGGTATGGTGGTTTTGTTTGTGCTCAGTTCACTGCAGAAATACATGAATGGTGGTGGACATGTGTTCCATCAGTGTACTTGGCCATTTAAAGGTTCTGTATATAATATTACAAGACTTGCATAGAGAATGCCGGTTATCCATACATTGATGGGGTAACAGAAAATGGACATGCCCATCGAGTGGACACACCTAGAAGTATGTCAAAAGAAAAAATATATATACTACACACACTATAATCTCTTGCTGTTTGTATGTTATGAAAAAGGTCGTCATCTGTAAATTAGCATGTGTCTATCCTTGAGCAGTGCTTTGTGTATTTTATCTATATTATGTATAGTTTTGTAAATGAAATGTCTTTTATATTTATACAGCACAGATACCAAAGTGAGAACTGTGGCATTGCCATGACTGTGGACAATGTATGAAAGAAATGTACAGTTTAATGGAAGTTTTGTTAACATCACTATAAAGATCACTTTTTGAATAGCTTCTGTGCAACTCTTGTGTTTATTAGCTTTGTGTATGTGGTTCTATATCTGCCTTGGATGGCCTGTAGGATCTTTAGATGGGTAGAAACAGAATTATGTGTGTGATTGTATATTTTTATTTTACACATAAAGAACCAGCCTGTTACTGGTAGCACTGGTGATAGGTTGCTTTGCCCATTTGATTGTTTTTTGTTTGTTTTTTTTTGCAATCAAAAGATCTTTAGGCTCCATGCACACTGTGTTT